AAAAAAAAAAAAAGAAAAGAAATCTTTTGGTCCAAAAATTAACTTCCCACCTGTCATAAGAAGACGTCTTCCCTTGTTAACCCACTTCCCCGAATGCACAAATGAACAAAGCTTTCTACTCCATATATGACAACCCAAAAGACTTATAATCCCAAACAGTATATGAGATTATATTTTAATGGGAACAAGTTTCTGTTATTGTACCCTACAAATTACTAGTGTGCTTTGTTCTATGAAAGGAGGAAGAGTGTGACATTAGCAGCAAGTCAATGGTTGCCTTAAATAAAGAGGCAGGACCACTGAGGGTAAAAGGGTACAAGATGTAGTCACAGGCAGAAAACAACCTGCCCAGATTACACAGTTTACCCTTTGTTAGGTCCTGTTTATCATACAAACCTAGACAAAGAAAAGGCTTGTTTTTTCATCCAATATATACTGAAATGCCCACTATGTGCAAAACATGTTCCCTATCCTCATATACTAAATATGTATACCACAGAGCTGTACACAGAAGCAACACTTCACAAGATTTAGAATCATTTCTCTAAGAAAGTTCTTTCCCAGGAAATTTATTCATTAAAGTTACAATCGTACTGAATCCTTTTCATAATCCTCACTATATAATCAGTACCACTGACAACATGAGAGCAATCAGAATATATTCAATTGAATTTTATTCTTTTTCTATACTTTATTTTGAGAAATTAAACTATCCAGGTCCTAAAAAGGAAAATAATAGATGTGGCAATGACAAATGACAATTAAGGATTTGTTCCTAGAGCAAGGGACCATCTTTACTAACACTTACCAAGCCAGCAGTAAGAGAAGGTGCCGACTGTCCCAGGGACTGGTTCCTCATTCGAACAAGGTTTGATGCTTCTCCTGAGGATGGCCACGCCACCTGCGCCACACTGCCGTGCACACTGCTGGACAAGGGGAGCAGTTGCTTACCTTCAAACACAAGGTTTCGAAAATGCTGGTCATTATTTATTAATTAGTGAATGAAAAAATACACTGATATCAAGTGGATAAAAGTATATTGATCCAAAACAAAGTGAAGCTCCTCCATATCCATTTTAGAATTTGTAACCTTTTAAAAATTCCAACTGTCTTGGTGGTGGTGAGAATTCCAAGTGGAATACTGAACTGAACTATTTAAAATTCTCTGTAATATCCACCACCATGCCAGCCACTGACCCTAACACCTGACCTAGCAGGCTAGGAGTTTTCCCGTCTCTTCCATCCTCCTTAGTTTCTCACCAACTCAATGTAACATGAGTGGAGCTGACAGATTCTCCTGGACATGTTTGGCCCTTAAGTTTCCGAAAGACAAACACTGAATCTACGCATATACTGCTCTCACAAGACTTCATGTGTTCAGGCCAGGACTGAAAGCCTTAGTCCCACTGACAGACTACAAGAAAGTTACTTGTAAAGACTGAGTTTGTAGAATTGCAATGACTTTCTAACTGAGGTGCAAGTCCCATTTCAGCCACTTCCTTCACACCATTCTTCACATTGCTACTAGTGATCTAAACAAAACAAATGTGATCATGTTGTTACCTTCCTTAAAAACTTCTGATGACTCCCTACTGTTTTGAAAACAGAGTTAAGCCAAACTTTTATAATATTAAAAGGATCCTCCATAAATCCAGATAATCTTCCTGGCCTCATCTCCTGCCACTTCTCCACACCCAGTCACTCACTAAACTTCAGTATCATGCCCTGCACTTTCACCTGGCTTTATCTTGTTCACCCAATTCACTTGAACACCCTGGCAATCTCTTCCTGGTGAAATCCTATTCGTCATGGAAATAACCACTGTAATAAAGGTATAAGCAAAAAAATGTTTTGGTTTTGGTTTTGCTACTACATACCCTCTTACTGAAATCAAAATGTGATGCAACTTACCGTATTTGAAGGTCAATTTAGCAAAACTTATGAAAATTTTAATTTGCATATGTTTGGACCCAGCATTCCACTTGTAGGAATGTAGTATAAAGAAAAAAAAATAGACCAGAATGTTCACCTTATTGATGCTCACCATAATAAATTGGAAATAAATGTTCATCACAAGTTAAAGAAATTATAATATCAACAGACAATGAAATACTGAACCCATTAAAAATATTGGGGCAGCTCAACAAGTACTCAAGAGAAAAATGTTCAACAATTCCTGTTGAATGAAAAAAGCAGAAAGGAAGTATGTAGTATATGATCCCATTTTTTATTTTTAAAATAAAAAATTTGTGTATATTTATATAAATTTTTAAATATATATTTAAATATAATGGTGTACATATAAGTGGTTTGGAGGGAGAGAGACCGAAGAATAAGTAAAGATGAAGAAGGACTTTTCACTTGGATATGCTGCATGTTTTCATACTAAAAAAAAAATTCCCCCCTTCCTTCCCCCAGAACAACCCTACAAAGTAGTTAATATTATTTTGTTTTACTATTGGGGAAACCAGATGGAGGATGACTGAGCCATCAGGCCCCAGGGCTACTCTGAAGGCCTGTCTGGATATGATACAAAGAGCAGCTACCACATTGGCAGACAGTCTAAATCATGGTCTGTCCATTGAGCATCAGTTAACAGTAGAATAGGGATAATAACACCTCCTTCCAGTGTTGTCAAAAGCACTAAATGAGATTTTGTGATATCATAGGCATTTGGTACATTTCCCAACCCCACCCCACCCCACTCCCACCCCCACCCCGATGCACACCACTAACACATTCATCAAGCTCTTTCCAAGGACATCGAGTCCAAAAATCCCAGAATGGTGAAGACAGGTATGCACCCACCACTCTACCAAATGAGGCTGAGGGGAGCCTCCTTTTCCTAGTGAGGCCTGTACTGACTAGACATTAATAGAGGAGAGCCAGCTTTTCATAATGAGCATGTCCTAGGCCAGTTGCTCTCAAATGTGGTCCAGGGAGGTCCCAAGATCCTTTCAGGAGGTCCTCGGGGCCCAAACTGTTTCCCAACAATGCCAAGCCCATTATTTGCTTTTTCCACTCATTCTCTTACTGGCACTGCTCAGAGGCTACAGGACGTATGATGACATCACCCATGGGCTAATGAACATGTGCTTGACATCTTAGTCTTTATTTTTTTTATTTTTTTATATTTTTTTTTTAAGCTGAGCCATCCTGCCACCTGTTGGCAGCTCAGCGGCTGCTCAGCTCGGGCCGGGAATCGAGACATCTTAGTCTTTAAATTTAAATGTCTGTTTCAGCTCCTAATACATCTATGTCCATGGGTATAATCCATATGAACAAAAGTACTTTGGGGTCTTAATTATAACTTTTAAGAGTGTAAGGAGGTCCTGAGCAAGAGTGCCAGAATTAGGAGGTAAAAGTACAAGACGCCAGTTAAATATGAATTTCAGATAAAAAAGGATATTGCATGGGATACATTCATATTAAAAAATTAATCGTTGTTTATCTAAACTCAAATTTAACGGGGCGTCCTGCATCTTATCTGCCAATCCCAGGCCTAAGTCCAAGAACTTTAGGAGCTGCTACCCTTAGGAGATGGCAGCGCACTCCTAGTAATTCCAGATGTCTTGTACTCAAATTTTTTATAACTGGCACATTTTACTTTTTTAGTTGAAAACATGCAATATTATTTTAAAATCTAGTTATCTTCCAAGTCTGCTCTCAAATGTATACTTTACTGAAAAGCCTTTCCATTAAACCCTCCATGCACACACATACAAAAAGTAATGGTGTTCTACTAAAAACTTTCATAAGCCCAGAGTAGAGCCCGCCTACCCTTTTTCCTTCCTTCTGCAAATGTTGCCAAGTTGTCCAGATGATCTGCCTACCCCTCATCTATATATTCTAAAGGAAAGCTACCTTGTTAACTTACCTATCCTTGTTAACTTATTGGATTGTCAGAAAAGTCATGATGTACTTTTTCTATGTTTTTCGTTGCAAAAATGCGTCATGACTTTTCCGACAACCCAATACATATACAAAGGCTAGTATCATATCTCTCACTTCAAAATACGAGTCTGCTGCAGCAAGAGGCTTACACAACTTCGGAAGATACCCATTTAGACATATACTAGTCAGGGCTTGAAGAGTACCAAGGATCGCCAAAAATGTGAAGAAAACAAACAAGAAAACAGATGAACAATATGTACAGATGTAGCAACCAGCCCTTTGTAAACAAATAACTCAGAAAAAAAGAAAACTTTTAAAATTCTAATTAAGATTCTTACAGTGATTCAAGGGACTGTTGTATAAAATATTCCAAGTTAAAGATGGCTGACTGTCCTGGGAAACTCCATTAAAATGAGAAGAAGTAAAATAAATAAACAAAGGCTATAAAGAGAATGAGAGCATGAGAGCCTATGAGGGGAGGCTAGAGACTATGAGGGATGAACAAATTATTGTTGGGAAAATCTAAAGCAGATAGGTTAATCATAACCAGTAGAACTGGACAAAGAAAGGCACAAGGTATAATAAACACAGAGGAAGTTGCAGTTAAATGGGGTATCACACTGCAAAATCTCAGGTAAGTTCAGTACTCAGAAATGCAAGATACCTAAGAGGACATAAAGTTAGACATCAGGCTGAAATTATATTAACGAAAAAATCTATAAACAGAACAGTCAAATACAACCACATTCTCTGGCTACCAGCCAGTACCAGGCCACTACCTCAAAGGATAGAAGGGATATAACAGCCCAAAGCAAAGCAAAGAATTCTGATTGTTAAGTGCTCAAAAGAAAGAGTTGATTCAGAAACAAAAGAAAACTTTAAAAAAAAAGGTTTTAATCCAAAAATCAAAAATTTGTCTACTCGTAGAGAATTGGCAGATAAACACATCCTTAAAATAAGAGTAGAGTGCTATGGAAAAACAAGAAATGGCTCTTTATGATTACATACATGTCTGACAAAATAAAAATTTCAATAGAAGAGTGAGAAGATAAAGCCAAGAAAATAGCCCTAAAAAGGGACAAAAAGAAAATGAAAACTGCTTATATTAGGCCAAGGAATATGGTAGGATTATATTTTCTTCTCTACTGACCTAATATTTTAAACAGGTCAAATGGATTCTCTTTTTTCATACTCTATTGATTGCTTTAAATTATGACACATTTTAATTGCTTTCTATTTGGACCATGATTTCCGTGAATAATTTTTCCCCTTGAACTTTTTAAGACTTTTCTATGGAGGAGGTAGAGAGACACTATGGGAACTGCAATGGGTTTTCGAAATGGGGAAATAAAAGCAAAGGATATGAAGTCTACACAAATAAGCAGAGAACAAAAGTCAGATTAAAAGGGAATAACCCACAATAGTGGTCAACCAAGAAATTTTTGCAGGTTCAGAAGGTTAGCATTCAGAGATGCAATGAGAAGTAGTAAAGAAAGGGAGACAGCCTTAGCCACAAGTGTTCTATACAAAACTACGACCTGAGAAGAAGCTGTCAAGATGCCAATTCAGTTGGTACACCTTTAAATACTGACAACACGGTCCCATATTTCTTTAAAAACAAAATTAAGGGCCGGCCAATGGCTCAGCTGGTTGGGAGCTCGCTTGGGAGCACCAGCTCTGAGCAGTAGGGCTGCAGTTTGGATCCCACATTAGGGCCAGTGACGCAGCACCCTCTACAGCTAAGACGATGAACAACAGCTCAACCTGGAGCTGGGCTGCTGTGAGTTACCGGAGATGGCATATGCTGCAGCGGGGCTGCCGTGAGCTACATGAGTGGTTGGCAGCCAGGGTGAGTGGCTGGCAGCCGGTGTAAGCTGCTGGGAGCCACTGTGAGCGGCCGACCAATGACCGGCGACCGATTGCCCTACCTGGGAAGAGCACAATGATCATACCAACATGGGCCAATGAAGCGACATCCTCCACAACTAGACTGAAGAACAAAAACAGCAATTTGTCTACCTGTCTGTTCCCCTTCCCCGATTCCCCAACGCTGTTCCCCTCCCCCCAGTTCCCCAATAAAATCTTAAAAAAAAAAATTTAAATATTTACCTGACAAAGAACTGGCCAGGCTTCCTTTCCGTAACTTACAGTCATCCTGACTAAGTTGTCGTTGAAGTTTAGCTTTTCCAGTGGATGAAAATATGTCAGGATTACTGAGCTTCCTAAAGAGCAGGGGACTAAGTCCAGTTATCACATCCTTCAAAGAGAAAAAAATAAAACATAAGTCTTTAATGTCTTTTGTGACAGTGTATGACCTTTATACTAAACATCTCTATAACACTCATTACAGTTAAAAAGTTCGAACATTGTATATTTCCTGCTCAATACATAAAGCCAGAAACATATTTCTTAGTAAAAGCTGTTTGGGTATGCTATGAAGGATGTGGGACATTGATTATAAAATGCAAAGTTTAAATAGGGGAGGAGGCTCTCAAGATGTCACAATAAGACATTTTGACAAGATGTAGTATTCATAATGAGTACACATCTAGTTATGTTTATTTATTTACATTTCTCCTTTTATCCACACTCTTCCTACATTCAGTAAAGAAAAGCATATTTTAGTTTTCAAAAGTTCATAAATAACAAGCCTTCCCTTACCTGTTATACAAAGATAGAAATACCTCTAACATTCAATTAATGCTAAAATAAAACTTAGAGCTTTCTTTATATGTCTACAATAGGAGCTAAGCACGCTCTCAATGAAAAAGTATAAAAGTACGATGAAGAAAACAGGCAATATCAAACACTGACAGTACCTTCCATTTGCCTTTACTTTAGTCTAGCTCATCCCACCCCATCCCAACACCGCTTCCTTCTCATTCAGTAAGGAGTGTCCCACATATCAAGATTCAGACATTTGGAAGCAAACCCACCTAGTTGACAGCATTAAATGAGAAACTATTTTGAAAAAAAGGCCCATGAGGCATATCTTTTATATTTCATAATGGAAACTACAATAAATAAGTAGCACATCAAACTGATCCAGATAATACAAAGACAAATGAGAAACATAAGGAGAAATAACTGAAATCTATGTTACCAGCCACTTGAAAAACAAAACTCAAATAACTGGTTCCGTAACAATACTAAAAGTCACAGGGGAATAAAATGGAAAAATGTCTACTTCCTTAAGAAAAGATTTAAAAAAAAACCTCTAAGGTCATACATTGTGATTGGCGGGTTCACAAACATGGGAAAGTATTAATATTGGTTGATGGTTGCTATTCAGAATTTACAAATATCCAAGCCTAAAGAGAAGAGTGAAGTTGATGAAGAAAAATACTGAGAAAAGGAAAAAGAATTTAATTGGTAGTAAATGAATGAAAAGATAAAAAGGGGATATTTAGGCACTTCCTGTGTAAGCAGGAAGAAAGGAGAATTGGAAGCAGTAGTTAATGCAAAAAAAGAAGGCAGAAGGGAACAGCCTATACTTCCACTATTTGGTGTGTCAAGGATGAAATAGTACCTATACATCAAGTAGAAACCATGGATGGAAGCAGGGTTCAGGCACTAAGGCTAGTAACCCCCCAAAAAGAACTGGCCACTCATACAGGCAACACCCCCAGCAAGAAAATATAAGTAAAAGGAAATAAGAAGACCTTGGAAGATATAAAGCTGAAGTAATATCCTATATGAAGGCAATATGGACAGGGAAAGGTCCCATCCCAAAAATAACTTACAAATGAGCTACATGAAAGAGCCAGCATTTGACTGGATGCCTGCTACACTGTATGCATGAATAATTAGTCTTGGTCAGAAAGGAACAACCACCAAAAGAGGACTAAATAGCACTCATTAAAGAGAAAGTTATATTCTTTTCAAGCTCCCTATTACCTATCTTAACATACCAAAGAAGCCAGAACATGGAAGGAGAAAAAATAAAAGCAGATCATGCCCCTTCTTATTCCAAGTCTCTCCTGTCAAAACCCTGCAAGAGGAAGACAATATAAATTAGATATGGAATTCAACTTTTAAACTAGGATGTCTTTCTTTTTTTTTTTTAAGATTTTTATTGGGGAATTGGGGGGATGGGAACAGCGCCGGGGAATTGGGGGAAGGGGAACAGACAAGTTGCTGTCGATGTTTGATCTTCAGTCTAGTTGTGGGGGACGTTGCTTCACTGGCCCAAGTTGGCACCATCATTGCGCTCTTCCCGGGCAAGGTAGATCAGTTGCCGGCTTCTGGATGGCCACTCACTGCGGCTGCTGGCCACTCACACTGGCTGCTGGCTACATACGGTAGCCCATGGCAACCCACTGCCACAGGGGCTGCAGCCTACGCCATCGCGGGCGACTCACGGCAGCCCAGCTCCAGGTTGAGCTGTTGTTCAGCATCTCAGCTGTGGAGGGCAGTGTCACTGGCCCTCATATGTGGGATCCGAACCGGGGCCCTCTGGCGTCCCAAGCCAGTTCTTAACCATCGCGCCACTCGGCCGGCCCTAAACTAGGATGTCTTAACTTTTACTGAAGTTCATTGCTCATTTCAGAAAAGTACACATACCATATAACTTAATGAATTTTCACATGTTAAATATATCCATGTATCCAGCATCAAGATAAAAAAAAAAAAGACATAACCAAGCACCCCAGAGAGCCCCTGTGCTCCCTTCCAGTCACTATCCCAGGTCCCTCCCTCCAGGATAATCACTATCTAGGCTTCTAACAAAACAAATTATGTAGCGTGAAAACCTTTACATGAATCACTCAGTGTGAACTGCTCTGTCTTGCTTCTTTTGCTCAACTAGACTGGACTTTTTAAAATAGCACAACATTATTGCATTTACCCAAGATAAGAGAATGAAGCAAATAAAAACGAACCAAGGCCGGCCGAGTGGCGCATTATTTAGGAGCTGGCTTGGGACGCCAGAGGGCCCCAGTTCGGATCCCACATGTGAGGGCCAGTGACACTGCCCTCTACAGATGAGCTGCTGAACAACAGCTCGACCTGGAGCTGGGCTGCAGTGAGTCGCTGGCATTGGCATAGGCTGCAGCCCCTGCTGCAGGGGGTTAACCGCCATGGGCTGCCGTGTGTAATCAGCAGCCAGCGTGAGCGGCCAGCAGCCACTATGAGCGGCTGTCCAGAAGCCGGCGACTGATCTGCCTCGCCGGGTAAGAGCGCAATGATGGTGCCAACTTGGACCAGTGAAGCGGTGTCCTCCACAGCTAGACTGAAGAACAAAAGGAAGCAACTTGTCTGTTCCCCTTTCCCCAATTCCCCAGAGCACTGTTCCTATCCCCCAATTCCCCAATAAAAATCTTTAAAAAAAAAAAAAAAGAACCATAAATAACCGGATGGAGAAAGAAAGAGTATGGGAAGTAGAACTTCCTTACTAACTTCCATACTAACTTCTTGCAGTTTTCTAGTTCCCACTTCTAGTCACTTACAAGGTCCAGCCAAACTACATGTTTTCAGGTTCAATAGGATACCACTGTGCACTTTATAATAAGCTCTTCCTTTCTGCTTCAACTAGATCAAATTAGTTTCTATCATTTTTATGAACAAATGATTTCTAAGCAAACTAGGGAGTTAACCTAAGGAGGGGAAGGCGCCTAGGATGACTTCCAGGTTTCTCACTTGAGTGGTATGCTTATTGAGCCAAGGAATATAGAAGGAGAAACAAGTTTACAAATAAAACACTGCTATGACAATAATAAATATTAGCATAATTACAAATTACTGTACTTTTCCAATAACTATTAGAGGAACTATAAACATTTAACCTGCAAGGAAGAAAACAAAGGAGACATGAATAATTCTCTTCAACTACATGAGGGCTACCTCCTATATTAGAGTAAATGTACTTCAGATGCCAGAATTAGAACTACTAAATGAAAATAACACAAGAGAAGGAGGGTTAGTAGACTCAGAACCACTGCCCTCCTCCACAATACCAAAGCAAATCTCAGGCCAACTTTACCCATAAGGTTAGTGCTGTGCTTATACTGTACTATGCTATTAAGGATAAGATTCAAAGTAGGAGAAGGATTCACAGCTGAAAACAAGAGTATACACACTAAAAACTTGTCTATCAGGCTAAAAGCCTGCATTAACTCTCATTAGGAGTTATCCCAAATGGCTGGCAACCAGTCAGTGAAGAGAATACCCTGTGGCAGATTCTTCCTGACTTACCTTGCCAAGAGTGAAACCTTGGTGCCAGATTAATCAAAGTCCATTCTCTTAAAACCTATCAAAAGCCCTTGCTTGATATCCACATGCAAAAACAAAATTAACATTGACCCATACCTCAAGAATATCAAACACAACATATACAAAAATTAACTCTAAATGGATCATGAATCTAACTATAAAAACTAAAAGTACAACTTCAGGGGAAAATATAAGAGTAAACTTTTGTAACTTTGAGTTAGGCAGAGTTCTTAGATAAGACACAAAGCACAAGTTTAAAAACAAATTTATAAACTGAACTTCATCAAATTGAAAAACTACCACTCTTCAAAGGATACTGTTGAAAAAAAATCACAAATGAACAAAAAAATTGCAAAACACACATTTGAGAAAGAATTGGCACTCAGTATATTTAAGATCTTGCCCAACTCAATCATAATAAAACAAACAAGTCAATAAAAAACATGAGCACCGTGGCCCATGGGCCAAATCCAGCCTTATTTTTGTAAATAGTTTTATTAAAACCAAAAAAAAAGCAAAAGATTGAACAGACACTTCAACAAAGAAGAGGCAAATATGACAAATGAACACATGAAACCATCCTCAATATCACTTACCATTAGGGAAACAAAATTTGAAATCAAATGAGAGGTAACATTAGCAAAATGGTGGAGTACACAGCTCCAAGCTAACATGCCCCCCACAGAAACATGAAAAAACAAGCAGAAATGGTCGAAACCACTTTTGTCAGACCACTAGAAAACAGTCGAAATTTTACAGCAACCAAGAGAATACTGAATCAAGGGCCAAACGTGTGGCGTGTTGGTTAAGAGTTGGCTTGGGATGCCAGCTCTGAGCAGCAGGACCCCGGTTCGGATCCCACATGCGGGCCAGTGACACTGCCCTCTACAGCTAAGACGGTGAACAACAGCTCGACCTGGAACTGGGCTGCCGTGAGCCCCTGCTGCAGTGGGCTGCCATAAGCTACCGTGTGTGGCTGGTAGCCAGCGTGAGCAGCTGGCAGCCGGTGTGAGCTGCCAAGAGCTACCGTGAGCGGCCATCCAAAGG